GAACATCCTCCAGTGTAAACTCAACAGAGGCAGTTCATGGGGTGACCCAGCCCTCCTCCTACTCTGCCCCATGGAGTGTGCCTGATGCACCTTAAATGAACCTGTATATATGGATGGAGGAAAAGGATAAATCTTCAAGTGCTCACTGCTGCCTGTGAGAAGGAACCAAGTTGTTGCTGCAGATTTGTCTGCACAGCTGAAATGTTTTGCAAAGGACTAACAGGGGGAACAAGAGGGGCACCAGACCTGGGAGCAAACTTAGATGGGGCATTAGAATGATGTTCTGCTCTCACAGAATCTTTGCTGTATCTGGAGCAACTCTACCCATTTTGGCCAGAGCTGGAGAAGCCCCATACCACCCAGCTGTAGGAGCTGTGTGGTGGGACACCTCAGGACCAGTCCTGTGCCACCCAGCCCTAGAAGCTAAGCTGAAGAAGGCCTGTGCTGTCGAGCCATAGGAGCTGGGATCAGGGACGCAGCAGGAACAGCAGGGGTCTTTGAGTCCCTAGGACAGGTAAGACCCTCCTATGTCCAGGTAGCACAGGACTTCTGCAGCTTAGCTTGTAGGGCTGGGCAGCACAGGACTACTCCTGCTGTGTCCTAGCACCCAACTCCTACAGTCAGGTAGCAAAGCCTTCTCCAGCTGAGCTCCTATGGCCAGGGGAGGGCAGGGGACATAGTACTCAAAATGTGGCCAAGGAGTGCTTGCCACCTCTGCCACTGCCACTATCCAGTTGTCCCAGAGTGCCAAAAATTATAGTTTTGCCTCTGCAAAGGACTTTTGTCCAAATATGACAAAGAAGTTGTTGAGTTGGAGTTGTTGAGGTTCATAGCTGCCCTATGATTATATTTAGCATGTGTATATTGCTTTTGAACTAATTACTCACTCTTGCTTCTTTACAGGTACAGAAAAAATATTTTTAACATCTTTCTTTGATATGTGACAGAATTCAGGCAGAGAAGTTTTGTGACCTGCCTAAGACAACAGCAATAGTTGGTGTGAATGCCAAACACAGAATGGAGAAGACCTTTGCTCTCAATCTTTAGTCTGTCATACTTTCCCTGTGTACAAAGATCATAGCAGTTGTTAGAAGAGTCAACTTAGAAACATACAGCTTCCATAAATGAGGAGGACCAAATCCTGTCATTAGGACTATAGAGGATCAGTAATTTTTAGAAGAAAATAAGGATAGATTTTTCAGCCTTTTCAGTCTGATTATGTTTTCCTTAATATCTTTGCAATAGATATTTGCAATTTGATTTTTTTCTATGAAAAGAGGGAAGGATTGAAATAGTTAACCCTGGTATGAAGCTGGGGAGGACAAAATGGAATGGAAAGGGTGGGAAGCCACATAGTCCTTGTGGGCTTCAGGGGAAGTGCTGCCTGCAATATTCTATCACAGGTTGTGATCTCAGGGCTTTGGGAGAGAGTTTCTTGCTTTGGTGTGAAATAAATTGCTTCTTGTTGACACCACTTCTACATTTTGTTTTTGTACATATTCAGAAAAAAAAACTTGTTTAGTTTTTCACTCATCATCTATCAGCAGAGCTGAGCAGAGATGCTATTCTCATTGTCACTTCCTGTTGCTATCATCATAGTCTCCATCCCGTTTTTGTTTAGGCATTTCTGTGTATTTTGCTCAACAGGTTTTATGCTGCTATTTCAGGCAACAGTAGTAGTGATCTACCTATAGCTCTTTGGCATTTTCTATTATAAAACTCTCTCTTCTGTAGCTTACAGCTCTGTCAAATTTTACCTGTCTGAGCTGGATTTTTTTATTCTGGAGTTTTTTCTTGCATGATTTTTGGGGGGAAACTTCAGCTAAAATAGTGTAATTATTTCACAGAACTGAATTACAGGAGAAAGCGCATTGCTCCTCACACATTTAAAAAACAGCTATTTTCTCCCCAGATCTTGTTCTGTGTTTTGGTACCTCTGTTTAGAATAGGAACTGGAAATTTGGCAGTGAGAATGCTCTGGTACCATGGATGTGCCTTCTGCATCAAAGTCTGACCAAATCTGATCAAGTGATACAGTTCTAAAAAATCTCAGGTTGCTTATGCTCCATAGAAACTCAATTCTCTGAAGACCCAAGCTAAGTACAGACAGTCCAAAAGTCCCAGGTGGAATCAATTCAATCTTCACAAGGTAGTTTAAAATGCCTAAACTGAACTGATACGCAAATGAACAGACATTCACTTTTGATTCTGGAAATGCAGCCACATGCCTACAGTGGCCTAGGCTGGAAACTGGGCATGCTAGAGCATACCTTCTTGCTCAGCTGGAGCAGACAACTTGGAACAAGGCTAGCCCACCCACCCTATGAAGGGGATGAGGGTGTGGGGAATTACAAAGCATGCTGGAGGATTGCAAGTTAACTTGAATCTGGAGGGGATCTGGGACAGAAGTTCAATAAACTGATTTAATCTAAATCAGCTAAGTCTGATACTGCATCTGTCCAGGTTTATCATAAACTGGTTTTGGCCACTTTGAAAGTGTTTTATATGCACTGAACTTCTGTCATGTCACAGATTTGAATTAGTTGTTGATCACTTATACCAGTTTATGTGTAACTTTTTTCCCTAGCCCCAATCTACACAAACCAAATTGGCTTCTCTTTGCCAATCCAATGGTTTATGTGACATCCCCACAGAGTAACTAAGCTGGTTCCATCTTTGCACTACAAGGCCTATGCAGGACTCACCCTGCAATCACTCTGTCCCATGTTCTCAATGCTCCCCCTCCTGGTGACCTAGAGAAGGAGGACCTAGCATATAGGGGGATGAGAAATTATGAATTCACAGATTCACAGAAGTTTAGATCATTGGGTCCAGCCCCCATGCTCTGGGTAGGAAAGACTGGAGGGTAAAAAAAAGATATAGGGCAGTAGGACAAGGACAAATGCTTCACAGAGTGGGGCAAGAGAGTCTAAAGAATGTGTGGGGTACCCCAGAAGCGTGGTTAGTTTGGTATACTGCAGAGGAATTGGATTGCACTGGGAATGAGTTTAATCTGTAGGACTCATGCCTTCTTCCTGGTAGAAGCTGAAGGTGCTTGGTGAATGAGGTAGTAACAATACAAGGGAGCATATCATAATAAATATACACAAGAAGGCCAAACTAACATTTGGCCTAACATAGGCATTCATATTGCATTTGAACATTTGGCTCTGCAAACCGAATGTTCTTTCATTGTAGCTTTTTCAACCTATTTTAGATTTTTTGTAATGGAATATCCTCTATAGCTGCATTATCCTGAGACCCTTATGGACATATCCTAATCTGCCTCTAGAAGACATTTACACAGCTTTTACATATAACTAAATCATTAAACACTATCCTATTCAAGATGGGTCAACAGCCACCAATTTACTAGAAGATCTATTTTCCTTATTTAGTTCTTTTTGGCTTTTTGAGCATACTCAAAGTTCTCCATCAAGGTGTGAATAAAAAAACACAGATTATGGCTCAATGTTGAAAATATCATGTAGAATATCAGGATAAAACAAAGAAAATAAAAATACAGAAGAAAAATATATGCCAAAAAGGAGAAAATTGCTAATAGTCACACCTATTTAACATGAAACCTAAGTTTAAGTAAGTACATATTTTTTTAAGTACATATATTTTTTCTATGTACAGTATAAATGAGTGCTTGCTTGAAATTAGGGTGTAGGTTGTAGCTATGTTGGTCTAAGGACATACAGACAAGGTTCTTTGGGTGAATCTGATATCTTTTATTAGACCAACTTAAATAGTTGGAAATTTTTTTTTAGCAAGATTTCAGATTTAAAAACCCTTTGTTAGGCATATTCATTCTGTCCAGGAAGAGCACACACCAACTGCAGAGGCTTTCTCAGCCTGATGAAGGGTTTTTAAACCCAAAAGCATGCTAAAAAATGTTTCCAACTATTTAAGTTGGTCTAGTAAAAGATATCAGATTCACCGAAAGAAATAAAGCAGTTTATCTCATGTATTGGGACACTGAAGATTAATTTCAGCCTGAGCCTGGATTTCCTGTAGTTCATTTCTAATAGCATTTTTATTGTTGTAATTGACTCCTAATATTCTAATTGACTTAATAATTAAACAGTTATCGATCCTGAAGTATCATTGTTTGAACCACGTGCTGGTGTGAACCCAGGTTTTAGGTATAAATCTTGAAAAGTCAGTTTAAAAATATATATTTGTGAATCCTGTTTGTTTTTTACATTTTCAAAAATAAATTTGCCTCAAACATTTGTTAAATGCTGATAAAGTTAAAACAAAAGCAATAACAAAAACCTGAATCTAGGCTTGCTTAAAACTAATGTGAAAGAAAGGGTTAAAAAAAGGGAAGCTCTGGGAATGTGGAGCACTGAATTATCTTACTGACACCAGCAGGGGTTGCTGTCACTAGTTTGTGGTTGCCACATTCCTTCTGTTTGACCTTGGAAAGGTTCGACATCATAGTCTGGATCTGATTAAGGGAATTTCATGTTTTTCCTTTGCTAGAGTCACCCCCCACCTCGACAAACATTTAAAAATGTTAAGAAAAAAAAGTTTGGAAAGCAAACATTTTCCCAAAAGAAATTTATAGTGCAAATTTACACCAAGTTCGCACTAACTGGAGCAGTCCGGGTTTCCATTCAGGCTTTGAGTGTACTCTATATACCATTAGTCACTCTCCTGGAAGATGCAGCTTTTTTTTTATAGGCAGCTGGATAAAACAGGCACAGATGTGTGTGTAATGTTAGAGGCTTTTGCGTGTACCTGCAAATTGTTTTTTAAAAACTAGAAAAGTGGAAGAGAAAAAGAATGAATTATAAGTGGAACATTTTTTTTTCTTTCTTTTGTTTCGTTAAAGGTAATGAGAATGGGTTTAGTTAAAGGAGTGTAGTAATGTACCTGATGCATACAATCTTGTTTTCATATAGTGGGTGTTTTGAAATCATGCCAAGCAGTGTGGTGCGCAAACGTATGAGTTTTACTTTGTAACTGATTGTCTTTTAACTCTGCAGGACTGTGATTATGCCAATTGCCAGTGAGTTTGACCCAGACATTGTCTTAGTATCAGCTGGATTCGACGCTGTGGAAGGCCATGAACCTCCACTAGGCGGGTATAAAGTCACTGCTAAATGTATGTATAGGTGTATTTTTCTGAGTTGATAAGTCTTCTAGGAAGCACTGTTATATTAGGACCTATAATGTCCTATGTGATTGCATCACACACTTAACATTTGTGACTCACTACTTTTGGTAAAGACATATTTATTGGCATATTTTCTTGGAATATTTTTGTTTAGGTATTAAAATTAATTTGGATGGCATTCAAGAAAGTCTTTCAAAGATGTCATGCTTCTCAAAAGTCCTCACTTCTACAAAGAGGAGTGGATTGCTTATTTTAAAATATGTTTAACAAGTTAAACTTTAGAGACTGTATTCTGATGTTGAATTATTTTCATACCAATGTAATCTGTTGACTTCAGTGGGATCAATGTACTTATGAAGGCCAAAATTTTCTTATAGGTCTAGTGATTTTGTGGAGCTTCAATTCTTGGAAGACAAATTTATGACAGGACCTCATTTGTAGGGTGCTTAGCTTTTATATAAAATCAGGTCCTTCTGAGATGCCTCAGATTTGGTTTCCAAATTTAACACATCACAATCATTGGCCACTGCAGAAATTGTTGACCAAAATAATTTTTATGCCAAGAATATTGAGTGGGAGTGGACTGCTCAGTTATAACCTGGAGTGTGTAATATTACATAAAACACCATGCAGTTGCTAAACATAAAACAGGGTTGACATTTTATGCTGCTATACAAAATGGTTTTAGAATTCAGAGACTATATAATGCATTTTAAGTCAATTAAAGAATGATAAATATGATAGAGATTATGATATAATGATATGATAGATATTAAAAATGGACATTTGCTGCTGTCATTAATGACAAAGATCTTGAGAATTATGATAATGGCATTAAGGGTGCTCAGCATCTTGCAGGATTGGGCATAAAATCCTAGAGGAATTCTATCCTTCTGACCACCTAACTTGAAACAAATTAGGTCAATAGAATGAAGTACGAGTTTTGCCGTTGTCATCATTGGTGGTACATTTGGACTCCTGATTTGTATTGTAGCTGCACAGCTTATTGGCACCCAGACACTATAAGGAATATCAAGGACAGAGAGACAGAAATTTCCATTGTCTAGAATAGGTTGCACCAGGATGTTGGTATACTATCAGTACTCTGTAAGGAAACAGCATAATGAGAGCCCTTGCACACTCACAGGAGAATGGAAATCTGGAAAGGGAACAGTTAGGACATAGGGCCAAGGGCTGGTCAGCAACTGCATTTGCTTTAAGGTTGGTGTAGTGGTTGTGCTTCCCAGGGATGGCAGGGAGCATAGTGAAATGTACAAAAATGCAAACAATGATCTACATATCTCAGTGTTTGTTAGAAGTGTTGTGAAATTCATTCTTTGTACAGGTCCTTCTGTGCTGCACAATCTCCATTACCATTCTGCACAAATAGGATCATGGTCCTAATTAGCTCAACACCATTTTTGTGCAATGGAGATGGGCTTCACAATGCTGCAGAAATAGTTTCCCAGAGGGAAACATTGGCCATTGGATCCACATTTATCTGGCTGGGTTTAGCAGCTGGGAGCTACTCTTGCTTAAAAACATTCTCCTAACCATCTTTCACACTGAATATGCACCATGTGTCCCCCCACAAAAGGGAGGGAGGAATGAATTTCACTCTGAAAGTAAAGAGACATACTTTCTTTGTTTTGAAATCAAATCAGATCCATTTTAGATCTTCCATGTCCTATTCTAAATGCATTCCATCCTCTTTACATAGCCCTTACAGAAACCATCGTTGATTTTTAGGACATGAAACTGCACATATACAGCAATATCAATATAAACAAAAAGATAATTTACAGTAAGTCCCTCTTGTTTAAGTTAAGGGAAAGCCAAGATAGAGCCAGATAATAATCATGTACCTGAGGGATGAATAAAGTCCTTTGTACAGAGCCAAAGGAATTTATTATTTCCCCAAAACAAAATTCTCAACATTCCACTGTACCTTTTTAGAGCATAACATACTGGCTATGGTATATAGAATTATGCATACAGCATATAACAAGAATCACTCAAAATCAGAGAGATAGACATTCATATTAAAGAACTACCGATATCATCTAAATAGGCATTCACAAAAGAAATAATAATTGATTACTTCCATGAGCTGAAAATTGTCCCCAGAATAAGCAAGCATACACAGAAATTTTAACATGCTTTTGCAAGCCTTAGCTGTAGCCAAACTATTTTTGTCATTTTTTTCTTTATAAACTTTTAGTACTTTGTACCCATTTAATACATTGCTCTTCCTGCTTTTTGATGGCCTAATGCAGTCGTTGTACTTGTGAATTATGAAGGCATTTACATCAAAGAAGGAAAATTGATTCTTTGACTCTTTGCTCCACTTAGTAAAAAAGCATTAGAGAGACACTGGGCTCTTGATGAGGAGAATTTTATGGCTTTCATTCAGAGCATAGTCACAGAGGAATAGCTGTAAAGTATTAACAGAACAGCAAGCCCTTGCCATAAGGAACTGAGAGAAAAAAAATAAAGATAGAAACAAATGAAAAAACGTTTGGGCAAATAAACTGGTGGTGTTACCCAACTGACGTAAGTCGTAAGTTGAGATGCAATAGAAATAAATTTGCTCCGTTAAACTTCCCAAATAAATATATGTTACTTCATGTATAGCTCACATACGTAGCTCACACATTTTTGCATTTTATTTGCTTAAATTTAGCATAGACTTCTCCCCTGCAAGGTTTTAGTTTCTGAATAGTAAGCAAAAACACCAACAGAAAACTAATACTACAAAGCTTTTCTGCTGGCTCTACTTAATGTCAGGTATTTACCATAAGGCTGAATTTCTGAGTTTCTCTAACCACAGCTCATACGCTGCAGCAACTTAGAAACCCAGTTGTGACATAGGATGATGGTAATGCCAGAGCTAGAATATCTGTCCTCTGCCCCATATGTCCTAACAGCTAGAGCTATTTTTCTTTTGGTAGGGTAACCCAGTATGTATGGGCTGAGCATGTGAAAGGACTAAAAGTGGAAGGACTGGCACAATTCTGCTTCATGGAGGATCTAAACTGTAGAGAACAGGGGCAAAGACACTGAGCTACAGGCTGCTGGGGTTTCTGCTGTCTTGAGGCTGCACCTCTGGCCACAGGGTATCCCTGTTGCAGCAGCTGGTAGGCCTGAGGGAAGGATTCCTTCACCACCCCTTGCAGAGATTCCAGACACAACCCCTGTTTCCTTGGTCTTTTTCAAGAGATCAGACTTTGGTTAAGCACAATGCAATGCATGCACATGTCTCCCTTCACGAGAGGCATAGCTAGCAATATTGGTGCTCTGGGCGGAGGTGCACTGAAGGATTTAAGAGCAGGGGAGGAATGGTATCAATGCCAGAGAGTTAGGGGCAGGAGTGCTATTAACTCAAAGTGGGATCCCAAAGATCCCAGCTGCTGCTGCCACAGTACAGCTTCCCAGCATGCCAGCTACTGCTGCCACTGTGCAGGGTCCCCCCACCTGGTCAGTGATATCATTGCACGGGCTCCCATGAGGCTGCAATTCTGGTGTCTCCTCTGAATTGGCTTCCTGACCTGCTTGCCCCACTCAATTTGTGCTACTGCTCCTTACCTAATACAGCGCGTATGCAAGAGCTCTTCTGAGTTCCTGCAGATATTCAAAGTAATGGAGAGCCACTGGTTGTACTTACATAGTTGCTATATACCGTTTTATATATAGACGTATGCTTATACTAGCTCGTAGTTCTCCATATGACTATCATGTCAATTTGACTGAATAAACTGAGTTAATCTGATAGAGCTATAGACATGTTTTGAAAACAAAACTTTATTGAACTTTTTTACAACATATTAAAGAAAATCTTGAATAGTGTTGCTCACTTTTAACAAGATCTAATATCTGTTCATTCTTTGTATTATATCTCTCTCAATTTTTTGTATTTCCTTTATAATTCTTTATATTTAATTCCTTATTGGAATTAAAATGTATTCAATGTTAAAAGCCCTAACTCACCAAATAACTGATTAAAAGATTTCAAAGTGTATATGTTTATATGAAGGTTATCTGTATTTTGATATCACTGAAGTTCCCATTATCATCTCTCCTCTCAAAGGTTCTGATGAAATATACTGAGTCAAACATTTATTTTATTTTATTTTGTATCATATGAAATAAACTAAGTCAAACTTTTTTTTTACTAAAAAGAGATTTTTCAACTAATTTGATTTTTTTTCAAGCTATGAAGTTTTAAAAATACAAATGCTGATTTTTATTTTTATTTTTAAATCTAGCTGAAATGTTTGGGGCTTTTGGAGCAAGGACGGAAAAAGATTTTATGGTGGTTTTTGATCTTGTCTCCTCTTTCTTATCCTTTTTTTCAAAATTCCATTGTTATGCAAACTTTTCCCCCCACTGGCCTTGATGTTCCTTCCCTGCCTGTTCAGTTTTCTAAGGGAGAAGAGGCTGATCTTCAATGACGTTTTTTGTAGGTACTGTACAAGAAATATTGATTTGATTCAGTATAGAGAACAGAGTAAAGTAGTCTATTCCTTCCCACCTGTCATGATTTCACTCACGTTTGCTTTGAGATGTCTACTTTTGCCTTTCTTTATAACAATTTTCTTGCTCACAGAAATACTAAGCACACGTTTCACTTGAAATGAAGAATGAGAAAGCAGGGTTTGGTTCTGTGACAACAGGCAGGATGGGACGTGGTGGCATGTTAGGTCCCCCATCACTGATCCTCCGATAGTGCGACATCCATTACAGATCTTGTGCCATGCATAGAAGTTAGAGTAGGTCACCCACTGTACTAGCTTCTGTTAGGGCCTGGAACCTGAGCATTGGGGATCCCAAATCACCTTGCTGCAGTTGTCAGTTTACTACATGAAAGCTGAATTTGCATGTAGTAAAGGATTGGGGCCTTAAAGTGTAATGTATAAATATGTACATAAGTGCTTTCCTAAATAGGGATGGACTCAAGAAAATGCATAGTGCTTTCCTAGTCAAAGTCC